TAATTTTAAAAAATTTCAAAATAAAAAAGTTCCAACAATATGTAAAAGTCAAGGAATTTTAGATTTTTGTATACCTGAAAATAGTTATAACGAAGAGAATATTAAACAAATAATGAAAGATTATAAAAGTATTTTAAAAGTAGATATCGTATATGAGAATGAAATTAAATTATATAATACATTAGTTAAACAATTAAAAAAAAATGATAATAAAAAGATTTATTTAGAAAAAATATGGGATTATCTAGTAAGGAGAAAAATAGAAATTAATGATGATATAGATTTAATAGAAATTGCTAATTTAGGATTTGAAGTATAAAATAAATTTATTTCTCTGAGTTATTTTTCCTGAGTCAAGTTAAAGTAAATGTTGACCGTTAATAAATGATTTCTCTGAGTTATTTCTCTGAGTCAATTAAATTGTTTTTCTTTAAGTTAAAGTAAATGTATAAATTGTTGATCGTTAATAATTTCTCTGAGTTATTTCTGAGTCAGTTAAATTGAGTTATTTTCCCTGAGTCAAGTTAAAGTAAATGCTGATCATTAATAAATTAGATAATATTTTTCTCTGAGTGATGAAAGTAATAAAATTATTTGTTTTGAAGATTGGGAAACTGAAGATAGTAGTTATTATAATATTGAAAATGTAAGTCAATTAGAAGATCAAAAAATTTTTTTATTTGATGAAATTAAGAATAAATCTAAGAGAAAAAAATTAAACGAGAAAGAGGAATTATAAGTTTAATATTTATTATTATGAATTGAATATTATTTTTTATTCGTTTAAATTTATATCTTTCTTGTTTTATTTTATTATTTGGTATATTAAAGAATTAGATATTTTATTAAATGAAATGGAAATTAATTTAGATACATTTTGAAATAATTTATTTAATCAATATTTCTTAATAAATTTTTGTTGGCTATGATATTTTTCAGGATCAGAATAAAATTTATCATTATAAATTTTTATTCTTTTAATATAAACACTTTCATTGTTACTAATTCTACGAATATTATATAACATTACATTAATGTAATTTTCATAAAACCAATTATTTAATTTCTTTCCTTTGATAATTTTATAATTTCCTATAATTTCATAAATTTGTTCTTTTAATTTAGTTAAGAGTTTTAATAAATAATTAATATTATTACAAATATCACATATTTGAATTTTACTTAGTTCAAGTATTTTTCGTATAATTATTAAATTTTTTTGAATCATATCTTTCATATATTGATATGAATAATAAGCTTCTCTATCTTCACAAAAATCTTCGATAAATTGTAAACGTTTATTGATTAATTTAATTTCTTTGTTATTAATTTTAATATTTTGTTTACAATAACACAATTTTGAAATATTTTTAATAAATACTTTTTTTGATGATTTTCTTTTCATTTTTTTGAAATTTAAATATTCGATATGATTATTCCAAAAATTATGATTATCTAATATATTTTGCCATTCTCTGTTTACTAACGAAAATTTTTGAAATTCTTTTGGTTCATTAATAAAATTAAAAATATTTTTAATAATTTTTGGTGGTAAATAATAAATAATTTTAATTTTTTTAATTGTATCACAGTGTTGTTCATTGTTTTTTCGCTTCTTTGTTGTAACATGGTCAACAAAATTTGAAGTCGTCATTATATATTTTAAAAGTTTTTAAACAAGTTTCACAAATTTTAGTTTTTAGTTTTCTTTTAAATTTTATTATTTTAGATTTATTAATTTTACGACAATTTTTGCAAAATTTATAATTTTTTGTATAAAATTTTGATCGACAATTATCACAATTTTTTTGAACCATTTTTTCTGAAGCTTTTAAAAATAATAAATAACTATTATCCATCTTATTAATATTAAGTTCAAAATGTTTATTTTTAATAATTTATTAAAATTTTTATTAAAAATTGATTAATCAATTTTATTTTAAAATTAAACTAAACAATATAAAATTATATAATCAATTTAATAAATTTTAAAGTACTCATAATATAAGAAGAAATTTTTAATATTTTTTTAATATTTTACTATATATTCAACCTTTTCCCATGCGACTTGATGTCTGTACATACAGTCGCATAGTAAACGTTTAATCATCACGCTCTTAATTATATTATATATCAACACTCTGTGATGAGATTTATAATTTTTTTTTAATTTTCCTATATATTGACATACTGTCCCATTTTTTAAAGAAAATTAAAATTCACTCCATTTTAATTCTTTTTAAAAAATATATATTTACTATATACTGTGACATTTAATTCCCGAAGGGCCTCTATTAACAGTATTACCCCCCAAAAACTTTTATAACAGAATTTTCCAATTTACTAGTGTAATATAGTGTAGTAATAGTGTAATTTATATCTACGATTAGTGTATGATTAGTGTATGAATAGTAAAAAAATACGTAAAATAAAAATACGTAAAAATACAGATAATAAAAAAAATACGTAAATATATGAGCCAATCATGATGTTTTATTTTTATAATTTTATTAATAAAATTTTATAATTTTTATTTAAGGAAAGTACGTAAAAAATACAGATAATAAAAAAAAATACGTAAAAAAATGATTAAATGTAAAAGTTGTAGACAAAAATTAAATGAAATAAATTTTTGTTTAGATAATAAAATATATAAAACATGTAATAATTGTCGTGATCGAAGTAAAAATAATCGTTTAAAGAAAAATATAAAATTATGTTTAATTTGTAAACAAGTTTCAAAAAATAAGAAAGAGCATTGTGATGAATGTGTATTTAAAGTTTCATTTAAACAACATCAAAATGAACAAAAGATGTTGAATCTTATTCAAGGAAAACGTTGTTCCCAATGTAAATATTTGAAACCTGATAACCAATATCAAGGAGAAAATAAATCGTGTGAAGAATGTTTAGAAAAAAAAAGAAAAAATTATAAAATAAAGAAGATGGAAATAAAATGAAGATTGGTAGAATGTTTATACTGTCTTGAATTAAAAGATGAAAGCGAGGTAACTAAATATATACATAATAATAAACATGAAATTGATGTTTGTTTAGTATGTATTGAAGATAAAGAACATCCAACATCAGAAGGGTATCAGAAAATAAGAGATAAAGATAAAAAATATTTGGATAGTATTTCAGAAGGAGATCATCGTATAGTTAATTTTTTGATGCAAAAATGTTGTTACGAAGAAAAATGGGAAATTTATGAATATAGAATTAAATTGAAAGAAACAATGAAAAGATATAAAATTAAAAATATTTATGAAATTGAAGAAATATTATATAAGATTGATTTTAGGGTATCTAAATTAATAATAGAGTTATTAAGAAAAAATAAGAAGATTAATGAGAGTGAATATAAAATTATTTTTGAGTTAATGACTAAAATTAAAGAATTATATGATGAGTATATTTGTGGAATATCTGAATAAATTTTGATTATTAAATTTAGTAGTTTTTAATAATTTTTTAAATTAAAAAAAAAAATAATATATGGATAAATAAAAATATTTTTATAAATGAGATAAATATAAAAAAATTGTGGAATTTTTATAAAAATTTTAATTTTTTTATATAATAAATAAATGAATATATCAAATTTAATTTATTTATAAATAAATTAATGGGTAATGATTTTATGTATGGTGATAAATATGCTTTTACATTGTGGAAAAATATAAATGTTTTTAAATTTGATGAAGATAAAATCAAATATATAGTTTGGCAAATTGAAATGAGTGAAGAAAATAAACCTCATATTCAAGGTTATGTTCAGTTTAATAAGAATTTTGGACTTAATGATGCTAAAAATATTTTTAATGATAATTCGATTCATTTAGAAAATCCTATGGGATCTTTTGATGATAATCGAAATTATTGTTCAAAAAAATATGATCAGTGTAAGAAACATAAAAGGAAAGGTTGCAAATGTGATTACGATAATTTAGAACATCGATGTAAAAAATGTAATGAAAAATGTGAAAGAATTATTGCTCGAGATGAAACAAAAATTTGTGAAATAGATGAATTATTAAAAGATTTAATTGGTCCTTTTGAAGCAGGAGATCCTGAAGAACATGTATCTGAAGATGAAAAAAAAAAGAAACAAGAAATATTAGAAGATGATATGTTACATGATATAAAAGAAATTGAATCTTTTGATGATTTTATTTTAAAATATGGAGTTTTGTATAAAGGATGGTTGCGGACTAATTTTGTTAAAGAATATTTTTTATGTAAAGAACGATTGAAACAAAATGAATTTCCTAAATGTTACCAACCTTTAAATTTTTTCTTTTATGGTGATCCTGGAACTGGAAAATCATATTTAGCAAAAAAATTATTTCCATTATATTTTACAAAAAATAAATCGACATTTTGGAGTAAAAAAAAGATTTTAAGTAAAAATGGTCGGGTTTTATTAATGAATGAATTAAATCCTCAATTTATTAAATGGGAAACATTTTTACAATTAACAGCAGAAGATGAAGTTCCGGTTGATGTTAAATTTGATGCAGATGGAGCTAATGTTGCTACGATGTATAATATATTTAATTCGAATTATGAATTTGAAAAAATATTTAATAATTTTGAGGAGATGGTTCAAACAAAAGATGGAAGACAATTTATAAATACACAACATAAAGAGGCGTTATATCGAAAATTTCAATATCCAAATGGTTATATAATTAAATTTGAGGGAAATTATGAAAGAGAAGGAATAATTCGTCGTACTTTTATTGATGATAGTTTATCAAAAGAGGAATTAGAAGAATGGAAAGAGAAATTTAATAATTTTGAATTTGATGTTAGGTTTTCAGATGGAATTAATTTGGTGGAAGTTCAAAAATATGAATTTAATCAAGGGAAAGTATTTGAAGAAAATAATCATGTATATTATCGTCAAAATATTGGTTATAAAAATAATGATGAAATGATTCAATATAGTTATAATCAAGATGTAATAGATAATAAAAAATTATATAGTTTACAAAAAGAAGATATTCCTGATATTGTGAAAAGAACTTTTGATAAAATTGATAATGAAGATCATTTAAATAAAAGGTTAAAATTGGATAATTTATTAGATAATTTTTTTAATGAAGATTAAAATTTTAATAAAATTTTTAATTTTATTTTTACGATTTATTTAAAAGATGATTGATATCAAAAAAAAAAAAAGAAAAATAAATTTAAAATGTTGTTACCATTAAGTTCATTTAATCATATTAAATTATTTGAAATTTTGTTAAAAGAAAAGAAATATGAAGCAATTGAAGAAATTTTTTTTATACCAATATCCAAATGTCCTCCAAGTCAAATTAAACAAATTAATTTTTATCTTGATAATGAAAAATATGAGCGATTAAATGTCCAGTTAAGATCATTAATAAATTATAATTATGGAGAAGTTCTTAGAAAGATATTTTGGTTTTATGATAATTTTACTAGATGTTTTAATTGTAAAAATATTTTAACAAATACTGGTATTGAACAAAATTTAAAATGTGTTTTATGTCTTCAAAAAGTTTATAATAATGAAATTAAATATCATAAAGATTGTATTAAATTGGGAAAAGATGTTGATAAATATAAAAATCATATTATTGATTATAAAAATATAAATAAGAATTTGAAAAAATTATTTAAAGAAGATAAAATTTGTGATTGTGGAGAATGTAAAGAATGTAATATTCGTTATAAAGAAGCATTAGAAGAAGTTTTGAAAGATTTAAAATCTGATGTAAATTTTATAGAAAAAATATTAAGGAATATTTAGTAAAATAGAAATTTTTAATTAATTTTTGATTGTAAGATTAGTAAACGATTTTTATTAAATAAAAATTTCTAAATCAGAAAGATTAGAAGTGAATTTATTAATTTAACGTTAAATTTATAAAAATTTTTAATTAATTTTATAAATTAAAAAAAATTAAACGAATTAACATGTATTTTTTTTTTAGTATCTCTTTTTGGGTGTTGTAAAAAAAAATTCGATGTAGGATTAAAAAATTAAAGAATTTAAATCAGAAAGACCTGAAGTGAATTTATTTAATTATTAGAACTTGAGTTTTCTTAGTTTAGTTGGTTAAGACGTTGACCTTTCATTAAACAAGTCTTGAGTTCAATTTGTGAGATGTTTGGATTTAAATAATTATACTGCGGATGGTAAATCATTTCTGAAAAAAAAACAACTGATCAATTCTCGACCGACCTTATAGGGGACAAGCTAAGTTCTGTGTCCTCCGCCATTTAATGGTAGAAGGAGCATTAGTCAATGAGGATAATACGGTCTGTAATTTAATTGGTATTAATACTAAATCAATTAGATTAATATCATTACAAAGGTATCGTGATTAAGTTTCTTCTTAATAAGAAGTTTTTGTTTATTTTACAAATGTAAATTTTTAATAAACTTGATGTAATTTTAA